GCTATCAAGTGTTAAGATACAGTAATTGCTACAAAGGTACCATTTGATTAAGTTTAAGAGCAAGTTGATACAATAAACTCTGTTCATGCACTGCAGACGTCCTGAGTCCACGTCCATGTGTCTTTGCAGGAGATGGTGCAGAGATTTCACTCCTCCAAATACAATCGGAGCATAAAAATATGATGACGTGCATTTTACAGTCGTGTCAGATCTAATGCTCATGCTGGGTTGTATGTGAGAGCATTGTCCTGAGATGAAACTATGCAGGGTGAATTTTAGATTTTCTCACCCCTGCATAGACTTGTCTGAGTTGTTTGACTGCAAAGGTGATATCACGGCAGTATGCTGCAGCTTATGAGCTGTGTATGAGTGCATGGGCTTTTATTTGAGTGTGTTTTAGCTGTAGATGTTCATGTGTGCCAGTAAACTATTGTATGTGTGTGTGTGTGTGTGTGTGTGTGCGCGTGTGTATGCGCCTTTTTACTGTTTCCCACCTAAAGGGATAATCCCGCCTGTGAAGTGGTGAGGTGGAAAATATCCTTATGTAGAAATAGCTGACGTTCCCGCAAGGGAAGGGGGTGTGTGTGTGTGTGTGTGTGTGTGTGTGTGTGTGTGAGAGTGTGTGAGAGTGTGTGAGAAAAGAGATAGGGACCAGAGTGGGAGCATAAGGGCCTGAGACAGTAAACTTCATTTTGTTACAGTATTTAATCCTCTTGGCGGCAGTGATAAACTAAAGGCCTCAGACACAATAAACCTACTTCCTCGCGGGCAAGGCTGGACACAGAGCTTATGATCCCAGCATGGTGTGAGTGATGGCTGCTGTCCTGTGCAAGTGTTTTCTGATGATGTGGGATGTTTACAAGCATATTGTCTTAAATCCTGACTCTGACTTAATGTATGTATGTGCAAATACATGACAATTGTTTACAGTAGTGACTGATAGGAGCCATGAATCCTGTATCTATATATTTAGAAAGACACACAGGCAGATGTCATTCATTTGATAATGGAATCATATTTAATAAAATGTTGATATATTTACATAGCATTTACTCGTTAGATAGATAGATAGACACACTTTATTCATCCCTGAGGGGAAATTCTTGTGTTCCAGCAGTACAGACATGTGCAATAAGTACAATTTTTTTTTTACACAGAAGAGCATACATGTAGGACTGTGACTGAGTTGTTCAGACAGATCTAAATTGAGGCAAAGTTAAAAGTTATAACAGAGGAGACTAGTTGAATGTTTCAGTAATCAAAAAGCGTAAGAACAAAAAAACATAAAACAGTGCAAGAGTAGAAGTGGTACAGCAATAAAGTGATAAAACAGTGCAAGTAGTAAGTGATACAGTGATGTGCAAAAGAGACTAGCTACGATATACAGTCTCCGAGAATAACATCTACTGATACTGAGTACCAGTCTTTATAAATTATCAATAGCAGCGGATAAATTCAATTTACAATGCAGAGGAGGAGACTAATGTAGTTGAGTTAAACAGTCAGTTGTYACAATTGTTACAAGGAGTTATTMTAAAACCTGATGGCGGATGGCAGGAATGACTTCCTGAATCTGTCCTTGTGACAGCGGAGTTGTCTGAGTCTATGTGAGAATGTGCTCCTCTGAGCCCTGAGGATGTGGTGGAGAGGGGTGGTCGGGGTTGTCCATGATGGACAGCAGTTTGTTCAGCATCCTCCTCTCCACCACTGTTTCCATGTTGTCCAGTTTGCAGCCGATGATGGAGCTAGCCTTCTTAATTAGTTTATTAAGTCTGTTAGTTTCCCCAGCTCCAATGCTGCTCCCCCAGCACACAATGGCAAAGAACAGTGCCACTGGACTGGTAGAATATCTCCAACATCCTGCTGCATACGTTAAAGGATCGTAGCCTCCTCAGGAAGAAGAGCCTGCTCATCCCCTTCACAGCAGTATTGTTCGACTATAGTAAACCTTTAAGAAATGATTCATTCATTCATTCAACAACAGAATTGTCTGGCATTTAACTGTTTTTCATTTTGAACTGCAGTCAACAATCATTTCCAAAACACAAAAACTGTAGCATTTCTTGGTGGCATCTCTTTGGTGGACTTTGAAATACAAAACAATATTATCAAAATAAAATCTGATAGTGCTCACAAATCAATGTCACACTGGTGCTTCCTCAAACAGGAATGTAAAATGTCTTGGATGATGGGGACTGTTGCTGAATGTGAGATAAAATGTCACCTGAATTACTTTTTGGAGTGGTCTCCTCCCGTCCATCTCTTATACACCCAACCACCGCAGAGTCATCAGAGAACTTCTGCAGGTGGCATGAGTCATGCTGAAAATCTGAAAATCTGAGGTCTATAAGGTGATCAGGAACGGGGACAGCACAGTCCCCTGCGGGGCTCCTACATCACTGACCACCACATCAGACAGAACACGACCCAGCCGCACGACCTGTGGTCTGCCTGTCAGGCAGTCAATAATCCAGGAGATGGTGGGCATGTCCACCCCCATCACCTGCAGCTTCTGACCCAGCAATCGTCTGACCTAGAGAGAGAGCGAGGAGGGAGGAGGAGGGGTGGAGGTGAGAGAGGAAGCGTACTCAGGAGGTGAGAAAGTGTTCAGTGTGTTGAAGACTGTGAGCTGAACCTTGAAGAAGAGATGGAGCTCGTTCGCCCTCTCGACGGTGCCTTCTTTCTTTACTTCATGTTAAATCCAGTGATGGTCTTCATCCCAGACCACACCTCTGTCCTGTTGTTTTGTTGGAGTTTGGACTCCAGTTTCCTCCTGTAGGTGTCTTTACACTCCTTCAGCTTCACCTTCAGGTCACGCTGTACATTCCTCAGCTCCTCCTGATCCCCACACCTTAAGGCCACTTTCTTTTTATTGAGGAGGATCTTTAAGTCCCTGGTGATCCATGGTTTATTGTTAGGACAGGTGGGGGATGAGGGATTTGTTTTGGAGCGTGGGTAAAAGGTAAGAGCTGGGAGGGAAAGGGGTGGGACGTGGGTAAAGGGTGGGCAGGGGAAAGAGAGGAGGAGGTGGTGGGGGGGTTGGTGGGTGTTCAGGGGAAGAGAGGAGGAGGGGTGGTGGGGTTGGGGGTTGTTCAGGGGGAAGAGAGGAGGAGGTGGTGGTGGGGTTGGGGGGTGTTCAGGGGGAGGAGAGG